AGTATCATTAATACACGACGTGCCCCAGGCACAACATTTAGCTCCAAATCCACAAAACCAGCCTGAAAATGAAGGAAGTCTGAAACGATTGCATTAGAGTCAATGGAGCACAGCTGTGTTCGTGTCGGATCCTGGTTGGCCAGTACGCGTCCAGCGGCGGGACTTATCGAAGGGTCAATTGCACAGAAAATATATGTACATATCAGACAGGTATCTTGCAATGTAAAGATTAAATCTGTGAGTGGAAGTATCTTAGTAAAAAAAAAAAAAATCATAGAAAAAACTCTTAGTTGTTGCACTTGTAAAACCTTGTTAAGATAAAGAAAATCCAAAAGCTGTACTTGCTGTGGCCAAAATGTATAATATGGGATTATATAAGTATAATTGGGGTCATCCTGTCTCTGCAAGTAATGTCCTAAATAATGTCTTTGTCTTTCATAACTTGGCATGGAGGGAATAACCATGTGTGCATTTGTAGGAACGCGGGCAAGGAAAGCTCGAAGGAACGTCTGGGCGGCTCGGTGCTCGATAAGATCCCCTTCCTGCATGGCTGCGAGGACGACGATGAGGACGACAGCGACGAGGAAGATGACTTCCAAGGCATGGCCACTGACTGCATCGATGGACCGCGCAAGAACAAGAAGTCTCGTGTAAAGGTGCGACCAGTGATTAGACATTGAGCGACTAAACAGGAACTATAAACTGTGAGTTTTCTTAATGACTAATGGCGTAACTATCCCTTTTTCTCTGCTCTCCTGTCCAGATGGGTTCAGAGCCCATGACCACAGACCTGGACCCGGAGGACGAGGAGGACGAAGACGACTCGGAAGACGCCCTCAGTGAATTTGACTTCCTGGGCTCGGGGGAGGATGGGGAGGGGGCGGGAGAGGCCCGGATCTCGGGGGACGGACGGGAGTTAGGTACGCTGTTGCCATAGCAACACCATCAGCATCAGCACTGCCAGAATCACTGCCACCAGTGTATCTGTCTTTTTTGCCCCCTCACCCGACCCCAACACCCACCCCCACTTCCTCCCTGCTCACCTTTTTATCTTTTACTTCTCATTGTGTCTTGGCATCTCTTCTTGTCAATAAAACCAACCTCTTTTCCCAACCACCTGTCTCTCTGTCCTGTTTCACAAGCTGTCAGTCTGTGACTCCTTAGAGCTGTGTAGCTGTCACCTCTGTCTGTAGATGTAATTACTACGGTGCAGGGTCACTTCCAAGGTTATCACGCATGCTGCCTTCTCTTTCTGTATGTCCACATTTCACTCTTTGAGCCACATTTACACTGTAACCCTGTGCTTTTATCTATTTCATCCTCTCACGCAAAGAATCTTTAAAATTTGATGTTTTGTATTGTAAAGAATGAAGTCTTATCTTTTTGTCTACATTCGTTTTGTCTCATCTGTCCATCTGCTGGCCTCTCCGTCTGTCCTCCGCCTCTCTGCATGACTGGATGTTTTGTGTCTCTCTCCTCTTGCCGGGTTCAGAGAACCGCAGGAACAAGTTACAAGGCATGATGTCGGACTTCCCCCCTAAACCTACCCCGCCCCCCACTGTACCAGGACAGGCTCGCTCCGGAGAAGGTAAGACTGCCCCACAGAAAACCGTAGATCATCCTCTACTACCACCTACTATCCCACACGCATGATTGTAGCTTAGACGTTGCATCACAAATTTAGATGCTGTCTCAGTTTTGTTCAATTTTAAAACCTGCGTAGGGGTAAACTTACAAAACTGTTCCTGCACCTATAAATATTTCCTCTGGTACACAGTGTGGGAGTGAGGAAACAAGATGAATGGACTCTTGCCAGGGAGATCTAAGATCCACTGCTATGTTTTCCATTCTCCTCATTTCAGCTTGTATTAATAGGGCCGTGATGTTTTGTCATAACTTGTGCTTTTCCACCTCCGACCTGCAGGTGGTGCCCTGGGTTTTTCCTCTGACGTCTTCATCATGGATGCCGTCGGAGGAGGGGACATGAACCTGGGTGAACTGGCTGATCTCACCGTCGCCAATGACAACGATCTCTCCATGGATGTAATTACACATTCGTTCTGGGCTGGGTGTGATCCAACCTGTGTGAAAATATGTGAATGCTGACTCTTTTTCTTTTTTAATGCGTGTCCTGTCAGATGCAGGATAACAGAGAGGAGTTTAAGAAGACATGGAACCCTCGTTTTACACTACGCAGCCACTTTGATGCCATCCGCGCTTTGACCTTTCACCCCAGCCAGGCGGTGCTGCTCACTGCCTCTGAGGACGGGACACTAAAACTGTGGAACCTCAACAAGGCCATGCACTCTAAAAAGTAAGAACACTTAGATCCACAGGGAGTGAGGGACAAGAAATACATTCATACAGTAATTTTTTATACTCGTAGCTCACTCCAAAGCCTTTTCTAAACAGTAGAAGGACAGATAACTTACAAATGTAAACTCAAACACAGCAAACAAAACTTAGAAGCAAATTTAACAGCATGTGTCCATCCACAGGAACGCAGCATTGGATGTTGAGCCCATCTACACATTTAGAGCACACAGGTGAGTTGAAATTCTTGTGCGCAAACCTGCCACAGACTGACTCAGATGCAGTGTGAAAACTAATGCCTCTCTCTTTGTGTCTAGTGGAGCTGTTCTGTCACTAACCATGGGTGAAGAGGGAGAATCCTGCTACAGCGGAGGTCTAGATGGAACCGTCAGATGTTGGAAGATGCCTGACCTCAATGTTGATCCTTATGATAACTACGGTGAGTCCTCGCCTGCTGAGTTATAATAATTATATTCCAATTTAGAGGTGTATCCCTTTTTTTAACATGTGCTTTTATTCAACCAGATCCTGGCATCGAGAGCAGCGTACTAGCAGGCCACGAGGACAGTGTGTGGGGTCTGACTTACTCGGCAGTGCACCACCGGCTCGCCTCATGCTCAGCTGATGGCACCATTCGCATCTGGGACCCTCAGAACTCGTCTCCCTGCCTGTCTGTCTTCAATAAGGAGAGAGGTAGGCGTCTTTGTCGAGTCCTTACATGTGCTTTTTGAGCTTTTATATTGCATCCGTGCCTCAAAACTTCCTGTCTTCTGCCAGAGCACGGAACGCCCACCTCTGTAGCCTTTGTGGCCACTGACCCCAACCAGGTGGTGGTGTCGTTTGACGCCGGTGAGACGCTTCTCTACGACCTCAACACGGAGCAGAGCGTCACGGCACTAGAGACACAGACCAAGGATGGTATGTTGTGGACCTTATTTGTGACAGCTAACGAGTAATATCACCCACTCTGAGATCAGTTGAAAATAAAGAGCAGATACAACAGTTGGATTCAAATGGAGTTGTTTGTCTGTCTTTGCAGGCAGTGAGCTGATCAACCGTGTGGTCAGTCACCCATCTGAGCCCGTCTCCATCACTGCACATGAGAACCGCACCATTCGGTTCCTAGACAACAAGACAGGTATCTGCAAGAGGTCTTTTATTTGTCATCGGTTAATTTTCTCTGTTTGAATGCATCTACAAACGATTGCTTTGTGTGTGTGTGTGTGTGTGTGTGTGTGTGCAGGTAAAGTTGTCCACTCAATGGTGGCTCACTTGGATGCGGTCACCTGTCTCACTACAGACCCTAAAG